AATGAGTAGGTGTTCTAAAACTTTTGACCGGTAGTGTATACGTTTCTGCTGTTTGTTCTTTGTTATAGAGCCAAAAAGATTGAAGAGCTGATTTATCAATACATCTCAGTTTTGGATGGATAACTCTTTGTGTTGTTGTTTGTTTAGTGTGTTCAAATTTTCCCAGAAGTGGTTAGATTCTATAGATTCTTCAATTACATTGAGCCGATTTCTGACGTGCTGTTCCTTCTTTTTCCATAGTGTATTTCTGTATTGTTTTAGTGATTCACCATAGTGAAGGCGTAGGCTCAGGTTTTATGGGTCTCTACAGTATGTTTTTGGTTGGATAGGTTTCTCAATTTCTTTCTTAGGTTTTTGCATTCTTTATCAAACCATTTGTCATTGTTGTTTCTCTCTCTGTCTCGCTGTCTCTCGGTCTGTCTGGTTTCTTCACCCAAGCCCTAGAGGAGCTCCAGTTCTTTCTGGTGCCAGGGTTCTCCTGCTAGAGGGACATTCTTCATGATGGTGCTGCATTGTCGCCAGTGTCAAAAAGGAGTAGGCAATTAGTAGGAAATGCCTACTCATAATTGGTTAAAATCACACGATGCACACAGATGATGTCATTGGAAACGCTTATCTTCTTCTAAGTGTTTCCAATGACATCATCGGTGTGCATCGTGTGATTTTAACCAATTATGAATAGGCATTTCCTACTAATTGCCTACTAATTGTCTACTAATTGGTTGATGATGTCATCGTACTCCTGAGTGGCGCAGTGGTCTAAGGCACTGCATCGCAGTGCTAACTGTGTCACTAGAGATCCTGGTTCGAATCCAGGCTCTGTCGCAGCCGGCCGCGACCGGGAGACTCATGGGCGGCGCACAATTGGCCCAGCGTCGTCCAGGGTAGGGGAGGGAATGGCCGGCCGGGATGTAGCTCAGTTGATAGAGCAAGGCGTTTGCAACGCCAGGGTTGTGGGTTCGATTCCCACGGGGGGCCAGTATAAAAAAAATATGTATTCACTAACTGTAAGTCGCTCTGGATAAGAGCGTCTGCTAAATGACTAAAATGTAAAATGTAAAATGTAAAATGTAATTGGAAACGCTTATCTTACTTTATCTTTTTTACAACAAAACATAGAAATGTGGCATTTTCACATATGTTGAAGTTGGGGTGGTGCTGGACATGATGAATATGAAGTTTACATTATTTTAAATGTCGCTTTAACAGAGAGGTCTATTTTCTGGGTGACCTGAATATAGACTGGTTTTCATCAATCTGTCCGCTCAAGAGGAAGCTGCTCACTGTAACCAGCGTCTGTAATCTGGTTCAGGTTATTAATCCACATGTATTGATCATATTTTTACCAATGCTGCAGAACTCTGCTCTAAAGCTGTACCCATACCCATTGGATGTACTTGACCATAATATACTGGCCATATCTAGAAAAGCCAAAGTGCCAAAGGCTGGGCCTAAAATAGTGTATAAGAAATCATACAAAATGTTTTGTACTGATTCCTAAATTGAAGATACAAAAAATATATGTTGGTCTGATGTGTGTAATTAGGAGCATCCAGACGCTGCACTTGGTGCATTTATGAAATGTTTTCTTCTAGTTATTGATAAGCATGCATCTATTAAGAAACTGACTGTTAGAACTGTTAAGGCCCTGTGGATTGATGAGGAATTGAAAAGCTGTATGGTTGATAGGGACGAGGCAAAAGGAGTGGTATATAAGTCTGGCTGCACATCTGATTGGCAAACTAACTGTAAATTGAGAAGTGATGTGACTAAACTGAACAAAAACAATAAGAAATGGTATTATGAAACAAAGATAAATGACAAAGTATGATGGAAAAAGCTTTGGAATACTTTAAATGAAATGATGGGCAGAAAGACTAATTCTACTCCATCTTTCATTGAATCAGATGACTCTTATCACAGAACCTTTTGATGTTGCCAATTACTTTAATGACTATTTCATTGGTTAAGTAGGCAAACGTAGGCATGAAATGCCAACAAACTGAGCCATCATATTCATGCATAAAATACCTAATAAGGAAAGAAAAGCATTGTAATTTTGAATTCTATAAAGTTAGTGTTGGTCTATTATCTATGCATAGTCACTTTACCTCTACCTACAGGTACAAATTACCTCGACTAACCTGTACCCCCGCACATTGACTCAGTACCGGTACCCCCTGTATATAGCCTCGTTATTTTTATTTTATTGTGTTACTTTTTAATAATTTTTTACTTTAGTTTAATGGGTAAATATTTTCTTAACTCTTTCTTGAACTGCATTGTTGGTTAAGGGCTTGTAAGTAAGCATTTCACGGTAAGGTCTACACCTGTTGTATTTGGCGCATGTGACAAATAAAGTTTGATTTGAATACTGTGCATGCCAGTCTCTCTTGTCTAAAAGTTGAGGAGAGACTGATTGCATCACTTCTTATTTTATAAGAATCATTAATGTGTTAAATTCCAAATTGTTTGCATAGTCAACTTACACACAGCTCTGACACACACACTTACCCCACCAGACATGCCACCAGGGGTCTTTTCACAGTCCCCAAATCCAGAACAATTTCAAGACAATGTACAGTATTATATAGAGCCATGAATGCATGGAACTCCCTTCCATCTCAGATTGCTCAAGTGAACAGCAAACCTGATTTTAAAAAAACATATAAAGCAACCCCAGACGGCCCAACGCCTCTCCCCTAGATTGTGTGTGTATGTACTGATGTCAACAAGCTCTAACAGTCTAACGTCAGAATGAGATGTTTCTCAAAAGTCAAATTCCAAAGTTGTTCCAAACGTCAAATCTCGAAGTGTTTTAATGTTAAGTTTAGGCATTAACTCTGAATGGTTAAGGTAAGGGTTAAGGTTTGTGATAGGCTTAAAACAAAAATATCAAAAACAACTTTCAGAGGCAGATGTTTACGCCCATCCACCATCCCCATCCACCTTGCAAAACCGAAACCTACTTGAAGGTAACAGCGCTCACTGTTGCCCTTAGTGCCCAGTTTCCACATCATCTCCTGACTTCCTCAGACATGGATGGACGTCGAATACTGACTTGTTCACGGGTGACCTGCATGGATATGTTGGCTATGTGTGACGTTTTAAATGTCTGTATACTAAACTCGATTTCACATGACTGGGCAGGGGTGCAGCCATGGGTGGGCCTTGGAGAGCATAGGCCCACCCACTTGGCAGCCAGTCGCACCCACTGGGGAGCCAAGCCCAGCCAATCAGAATGAGTTTCTCCACACAAAATGGCTTTATTAGAGACAGAAATGCTCTTTTTTTAAATCTGTGAAACCCCAAACGTCTCTATGATATGATGTTCCCTTCATCTTCCTCCTCCATTCTGTGACTCTGTGTTTCTACAGGTTCTGTATGGCCAGCGAGCTTACCTGTCACTCCCTAGCCCCGCCTCCCCAGATCTGCTTCACTTCCATGGCGACCTGCAGGCCTTAATGCTCGAGCTCTTCGAGTGCGACATGCACTCGGCTAACAAAGGGTAATCACCAACTCTGGGACACTTACTTTGAAACAATTGCAGTTGTTCTAATCAATGAAGTGCACCACAAAGACACAACGCTGTGGAAATTGCAACATGTCCTCCCTCTTCCCTCAGAGGGCCGGGAGGCTTGCGGTCGTCCGTCCTCTGCAGCGTGTTCTGGAGCGTGTGGGAGCGCTCAACGCTGGGCTTGCGGTCGTCCGTCCTCTGCAGCGTGTTCTGGAGCGTGTGGGAGCGCTCAACGCTGGGCTTGCGGTCGTCCGTCCTCTGCAGCGTGTTCTGGAGCGTGTGGGAGCGCTCAACGCTGGGCTTGCGGTCGTCCGTCCTCTGCAGCGTGTTCTGGAGCGTGTGGGAGCGCTCAACGCTGGGCTTGCGGTCGTCCGTCCTCTGCAGCGTGTTCTGGAGCGTGTGGGAGCGCTCAACGCTGGGCTTGCGGTCGTCCGTCCTCTGCAGCGTGTTCTGGAGCGTGTGGGAGCGCTCAACGCTGGGCTTGCGGTCGTCCGTCCTCTGCAGCGTGTTCTGGAGCGTGTGGGAGCGCTCAACGCTGGGCTTGCGGTCGTCCGTCCTCTGCAGCGTGTTCTGGAGCGTGTGGGAGCGCTCAACGCTGGGCTTGCGGTCGTCCGTCCTCTGCAGCGTGTTCTGGAGCGTGTGGGAGCGCTCAACGCTGGGCTTGCGGTCGTCCGTCCTCTGCAGCGTGTTCTGGAGCGTGTGGGAGCGCTCAACGCTGGGCTGCGGTCGTCCGTCCCTGCAGCGTGTTCTGGAGGTGTGGAGCGCTCAACGCTGGGCTTGCGGTCGTCCGTCCTCTGCAGCGTGTTCTGGAGCGTGTGGGAGCGCTCAACGCTGGGCTTGCGGTCGTCCGTCCTCTGCAGCGTGTTCTGGAGCGTGTGGGAGCGCTCAACGCTGGGCTTGCGGTCGTCCGTCCTCTGCAGCGTGTTCTGGAGCGTGTGGGAGCGCTCAACGCTGGGCTTGCGGTCGTCCGTCCTCTGCAGCGTGTTCTGGAGCGTGTGGGAGCGCTCAACGCTGGGCTTGCGGTCGTCCGTCCTCTGCAGCGTGTTCTGGAGCGTGTGGGAGCGCTCAACGCTGGGCTCCAGAGCCGTGCAGCAGCTAGCCCAGCACCTGGTCCAGGCCTCACAGTGGGAAGGCTCGGTCTATGAGGTAAACCTGGACATCATTCCCAAGTCTCTGTCCCTGTTCTCACCAACCATCCAGTCACATGCAGTAGGCCTACATCCCTGGCCTGCCCATACTTTGGTTCAGTCAAAGTCAACTCCAAGTCAATTCTGAAATCTTGGTGCACTATCTAAGGTGTGGACACCTTTCATGTTCCACATACAGTACCTAACTGAAATTGGTACCTAACTGGTCCAGCTATGTACCCACCTACCCGTCTGTGTCCCTGTGCTGTGGTTGCTGCATAGGGCCAGGAGAGGGACAGGAGGCAGATGCTGGTGCTGACCCTGCAGGACACACTGGGTGTGCTGGTGGACTTCTGATGTCAGTAGCACAGCCGTCTCAACCGCAGCCTGCTGCACAAAGGTCTGGAAGACCTGGTCCAGTATATCGCCATCCTGTCTCAGGGTACGCTACACTGAACGGCACATAGTCAGAGGCAGATAGCTTAGTGGTTAAGAGCGTTGTGCCAGTAACCGAAAGGTCGCTGGTTCTAATCCCCGAGCCGACTAGGTGAAAATTCTGTCGATGTGCCCTTGAGCAAGGCACTTAACCCTAATTGCTCCTGTAAGTCGCTCTGGATAAGAGTGTCTGCTAAATGACTAAAATGTTTATGGCACCCTATATAGTGCACTACTTTTGGTTTCAAGTCTGGAAGGTACAGTATATTTGGTTTCCCAGTCCTGGCTGTTGTGTCCCAGGTGTAGCACTGGTGTAGCAGCAGTACAGTGTATTGGAGGTCTGGTGCAGACAGGACAGTTGTTTTGCTGTGATCAGATTCTCTAGCTGCTGTTCTCACAGCTGGGCTTCTCCCTCACAGCTGCTGCCTCTGTGTCTTTATCCTTCTGTATAACACACCTCAACACACACACACACACACCCTCCTACACTACAGAGGCAGAGTCCCTTATAAAGATTTTATTTTCCCCTTCCCCTGCATCTTATTGTCTGTGTGTGTGTGTGTGTGTGTGTGTGTCCTGACAGGTGTCCTCCTACCTGCCTGCCCTGGTGAGGCTGTGTGTGGTCAAAGCAGGTGGCTCCAGAGGCCCCCGGGCAGACAGCAGGGGCCCTCGGCCTGGGACTGAACCCACCTCCTGCTGTTGGCGCACCCAGGGGACCGCGACAGGGAGAGTCTGTCTGTCTGTCTTTCTGTCTGTTTCTGCCCCCCTGAGGACCATAAACTACCCCAGAAAGGCTACACAGAGGCCAGCCAACCAACCTGCCTGAGAGCAGCGGAGGGGAGAGAAGAGTGGAAGGAAGAGGTGAGAAAGGGCAGAGATCTGATGAAATGAAGGAAGGCTGGAGACACCTGGAGTGGAGGGGGGGGGGGGCTTCCCCCTCTCCCCCTTCACATCCACACCTGCCCCATACCAGGCAGATGCCGCTGTTCAACACCCCGTCGTTGGCACAGACACAGGTCAGACAGGCAGGCAGGATGAGGTTAATCTCAGGGCTAGCAGTTCACTCACCGACCAGCCTCAGCCTCTCTCCCCTCAGACTTTATTCATCAACGTTCATCTTTTCCAATAGGAAATCAAAAGACAACATTAATGTTACCTCACCAGTCAAAAGTATATCTTTTTCAATGAATGATTGTGTATTACTAAGCGATGTGAGAGAGGAGAACATTCAATATGAATGGTTTGTTTGAGAAAGCTGCTAGCATGAGTGAGGCCCCCCTTTCGAGCTCTAACTTTGCTGATAGCTACTTTATTGAGGAAAAGTGTACTTACTATGCCTGTGATATGTGGTTGTCCCACATAGCTATCTGAAGATGAATGCAATAACTGTAAATTGCTCTGGATAACTGCTAAATTACTTTTGGGTCTCTCTCTCTCTCCTCTCTCTCTCTCTGCAAAGGTCCAGACAAAGGCTGGTGGGAGGCTCTCCATAATTGAAGCCCTGTTTCCTCCTGCTGGCTTAATCAAGCAGAACTTAATGCTTTTCTGTTTGAACCCATTTGGGTTTGTCATTGCCCTCTCTCTTTATCACTCTCTCTCTCTCTGTCTGTCTTTTGTCCCGATACATGTTACTGTACCACAGCACAGTGAATCACTGCATCCCTCTCTTCAATTTAAGAACTCCGCTTTGATTACTACGATTGAGTAGCAAAAAAAAATGAATTTAGGCTGATTTTAAAGGACTTAAACAGCAATGTCGATTGTGGAGTTGATCTGATGTGTTTGCTGCCTTTTTGATTCCTGAGAGTGCTTTATCCCACCCTGTGGGGTGGAAATGACACAGGAGAGAGTCTGCTGTCTGTATGTCTGTGTGTGTCTGTGCGTGTGTTTGTGCGTGTGTGTGTGCACACGTGTGTGTGTATTTAGTGTTGGTGTATGGCGTAGTGTATACTGCCCCAGGGCTTGCAGTGATCCTGCAGCCAGAATGACAGAATGATGATCCCCTAGAGTATGGCCCATCATGAGAAAAACTAGGTCCACTCGCCAAGTCAAGTCTATTGTCAGTGTCCCCATGTGGACAGAGGACTTCTGGGTTAAGTGGGATGAGATGAAACGTGGCACTCTTCCTCTTATCACTTGTTTTACTATTCTTATGGGGACCAAACAATTTATTCCCATTCAAAATCCTATTTACCCTAACCCCTAAATTTAAAATAGCCGTTGTCCTTGTGGGGCGAAATGTCTCCAATTTTCCTTGTTTTACTATCCTTGTGAGGACTTCTGGTCCCAACAAGGATATCAAAACCTAACAACCACACACACACACACACACACACACACACACACACACACACACACACACACACACACACACACACACACACACACACACACACACACACACACACACACACACACACACACACACACACACACACACACACCATCTCGCCAGACTTGTCCCTGCTAATAACAAGCTACGTGACAGGACGTGTGTTCCTCCCGCACTGCTAGGAGATTCCGCCTGGGTTCTGAACAACCCAATTACCAGGGAACAAGCAGGCTTCCTTGTAGTAAAGCATGGCTACCCTCTCTCTCCCTCTCTCTCCTCCTCTTCCCTGTTCCCCATGCATCAGGCAGCCAGCAGCTCTGCTCCCCACCTCATACACAGGACTCCTGACAGCCACTACGCAACTTTGAAGAGCCCGCTTTCACTTTCACTAGTTCTTTATTTATTTATTTATCATAATCTGCTTTTCTCTGAATTTACTCTGTTGCTGTTTTACTCACTAAGTGGGGGGAAAACTGCGATGGAAAAATGACATGTGATGCCTGCGAAGCCAGCGTGCATTGTAGACGGTGGTAGTTTGATCAAGAGTGGCGCTGTGTAGTAAAAACATGGCTACAGCCAGGTCACCTAGCACTGCTGAATGTGAAGAGTAGTGATACTGCTGCATGGCCAAACTGCTCAACTCTCCTTGACAAGGTCATCATTAATGCTGTAGGAAACATTGAATTGAATTCAGATGATTAACCAACACCTACCTACCTACCCAGCTTCTGCCTGGGCGCCTACACTACCTCTCAGGATCCATTTTCTCAGTGCCGCTGAAACGGGTTGTGACCGTCATCTTGGTTCACCCTCCAGTGAGGGAAAAAGTGAAGTAACACTCTGACTGCACTGTATTTGAGAGTATGGGCCTTACTAGGTGGCAGTGCACAAGGCCTTCCCATGGTTGACAGTGACGGCCATTAAAAGACTGAGCTGAGAGTATCTCTCTGCTAGGGTCCTGATAGCTGTCTGTTTGAATGAGGCACAGCACAGAGTGGCCCCTACACACTGCTGCCACTGCTCTATTCCTCAGAGAATGTTCTACAAGCTCTTCCTTCTCATCGTTCTGTGTGTGTGTGTGTGTGTGTGTGTGGGAGACCTACTAACAGGGAGACCTACCATTCCTGGTGGTGAGAGGAATTTCCTCTTTATGGGCATTCATTGTGGGAGTATTAAATCGTTTGAAGAGATGCCAGTCATCAGATGGCCATGATGATTATGTTTGATGTTATCAGAGGTGTGTGCGGAACTTCCTTTAATTAGGGGCTTGGCACTCTGCGTGAACTCTGAGGTGTCCGCGCTCATATCCCCCCCACCTGATCAGAAATGTTCTGCGCCGGAGGCAGTAGAGTTGAAGAGGAGGGCAGGCAGAGGCAGGAGACTCGAGGCTGTTCGCAAGTTGTTTTTCCACTACGTGATCTCTATACCGATGCGCTCTGCGTTAACTTTTTATGAACCATCGGCACACACACACAGACACACACACACACATACAGACACACACACACACAGATTTCATCTTGCTTTCCTATGAGCTATTTTTCGGTGCTGCATATCTTCAGCCTCCATGGCCACTTGGATCTACCTTCTAGCAGCTGAGAGGGGCTATGGGTTTAGGAAGGTTGTTTTCCCTCCTATCTGGGCTCTACCTTCTAGCAGCTGAGAGGAGCTATGGGTTTAGGAAGGTTGTTTTCCCTCCTATCTGGGCTCTACCTTCTAGCAGCTGAGAGGAGCTATGGGTTTAGGAAGGTTGTTTTCCCTCCTATCTGGGATCTACCTTCTAGCAGCTGAGAGGGGCTATGGGTTTAGGAAGGTTGTTTTCCCTCCTATCTGGGCTCTACCTTCTAGCAGCTGAGAGGAGCTATGGGTTTAGGAAGGTTGTTTTCCCTCCTATCTGGGCTCTACCTTCTAGCAGCTGAGAGGGGCTATGGGTTTAGGAAGGTTGTTTTCCCTCCTATCTGGGCTCTACCTTCTAGCAGCTGAGAGGAGCTATGGGTTTAGGAAGGTTGTTTTCCCTCCTATCTGGGCTCTGGCACTTGTACAATCTTCTTGGTAAAAGTTATGTCCTGTGTCCCCTGACTTGACTGGGTACCACCAATATAACTTGCATTTAGAGCAGACAGACCAGGTAAAACATTAAAACGTGACATATTGTGCCTCTGTTCCCTGTTAGAACGCTCAATCACATTGCATCGCTATCCAGTGACCACCATCTTGTGGTACGCTTTAAAGCAATAAGGCACCTCGGGGGTTTGTGGTATATGGTCGATATACCACGGCTAAGGATTGTTCTTAGGCGCAACGAGAACCCTTGAGGTGCCTTATTGTTATCAGAAACTGGTTACCAACATAAATAGAACAGTATACAAGTACTGTATTTCTGCATCATACCCGTGGTATATTGTCATATATACACATGGCTGAAATGCTGTTTCAGCCAATCAGAATCCAGGACCCAAAGTACCTAAAGCCTAATTTATAAAAATGTTTGATCTGTTTTTCAACCTCCATGGCCAGCCAGGGTTTGTAGTTTCATACAGTAGGATATTTATATTCAAGCCATGTTAGTGTGAGAGAGCGATTCTACATTCAGACACTGGTTTAAATGAATACTTGGCATTGTGTATAGCTTTCTAGCGTCATTCTGACAAATAGCATTCTTATTAGAACCCATTGCCAGGAGCTTTTTGAACCAGCTCGCCAGCCGACACATAGTACAAGTACACAGACAAAGTGGACACATACATCTAACTTTTCTATTAAAGAGTGAAATGAGGGATTGTTAGAGGGATTTATAGAAAAGGACAGGCGGATTTATCCTTTCCGTGCTTTTGTAAATGCTGAGCATGCAATTACCCCTAATAATGGTGGAGTTGTGTCCAAATTGGAGCCATTAAAGTGATTTAACAGTGCGTGGATTGGGCCTGGCATTGGCGAGGATGTGTACACATGGGGAGCTGTGGAATGGGTGTTTAATCACAGCGTTTTAGAGGCCATAATGGAGGAACACGGTGTGTAGAACGCTGACCTGCCACAGTGCATAACAACTCATTAAGGCCAACTTGGACTTCACTCTCTATGGCATTGGAGTTGCAGCTTTTTTTTGGTGTTCTTTATTTTTAATTTCTTTGTTTCCATGGAACAAATTTGGTCTTATTTATCTGATTTCTTTAAGTGTATTATAGGAAGATTGAGGAAGTAGGCTAGAGCTAATGAGGGAGACGTTGCATTGGCTCCAGCGTGTTACTTACTGTGCGGCGTGAGAGTATTGGTACGGACCAGTAATCCCCGAGAGGAGAATGTGCCTTTTAGGTCACAGTACTGTTCTGGGAGGCTCCAAGACCGGATCCAATCCACCAGTCCCAGCTGTCCTGCTGAATTTCGGACTATTCCAGTTCGACATAACACAATCCAAACCCATTAACTGAGCAGGAGCAGGATTCATTCAGGATATCCTGTGGGGTTTTTTCTTGTTTTTTCAGGGGCTGGCGAGAGGGTACGCACCATAGAGACGCCAAGAGGAGGTATTTATACGAGAAGGTGCAGTTGTATTTTTTACTTAACACTTTTTTTTTAAATTATAACTTTAAAAACTGCATTGTTGGTTAAGGGCTTGTAAGTAAGCATTTCACTGTAATGTCTACACCTGTTGTATTCGGCGCATGTGGCAAATTAAATTTGATTTGATTTGATGATACAGGTAGGGCAACTGGGCACTGGAGATCTGAAACATGCTGCCACAACAACACAAGCTACCCTCCGCTTTGTGGCTTACTTCTGGTAACAAACAAAGAGCAAATAATGAATCATTGCTGTTCCTTGTCCAGATGTTGTCGAAGCTACAGATAAACAGCCTCTCTGTCTCCGTTGCGGCACCCTTCAATCTCTTTGTCAGGTGGGAATCACATTTAATGCATCTAATGCAGGCTCAAAGACACCTCTGGGAAGAAAGGAACTCTTCAAGTTGAAAGCGTTGAGCATTTTCCAAATTTCGCTGTGCCTTGAAATGCAGCAAGCCTTTTCCTCAGTCTGTCCTCTCCTCTCTCTCCTCCCTCTCCTCTCTCTCTTCCTTCTCCTCATACCCTGCTCTATCTGCTCCAGTGAAGCCTCTGTACAGCCAGGCAGTCGTCCTGGAGAGGGCTAGTAAAGCGTTTATTAGGGGCTTTGCAGTCCTGTATTATACTGGCAAGCAAAGAGGCACTCATGCTTGGCCTTTAACTTTCTTGTGAAGTTCAGCCATACATGAAGAGGGGGTACTGGTCCTCTAATGTATTCCTGATTTAATATTGTATCAAAAAGAGAGCAGGGGAGGAGGGGGGGAGGGGAAGAGGGGGGAGGGGAGAGGGGGGCGGTGGAAAATGTAAATAGAAGCCTTAAGGAGGCTTTTGTGGCCGGGTGTTGAAGTTTGCTGATTAAATATCACGTGGTACATTGGTAATGCCCAGTGGAGCGTTTGAACCCTGGATGTGTGAAGAATCCTGTTGGAGTCTTTGTGCTTGGGCTGTGTACCATAACTTCCTCCAGTGGAACAATACGGGATAGGAAGACAGGAAGAGGCTCTTCTCACACTCTTACCCCATTTATTAACTTTGTGGGGCTCTTGTGTAAGTGGAAAATCCCTCCGTCCAATAAAGGAGGAGGAGAAAGAGCCCAATTCACCATCGTTTTTTTTCTTCCCATTTCTCATCTCTTCTCTGTAAATCGCATTCTCATTGGAGGGTCGCCTTAATTTTGTTCAGTTTTTTGGGGGGTCGTTGGGGACATTTCTCCAGCGCATTACTGGTGTGGGATTTCTTTATCTTTTTCATCTTTCTACTTCCTCTCTCTGTCCGTGGATACGGTGTCCCGGCAAAGTCGAGACACTCCTGCACAGAGCCTGTAAGAGGAACCAGGTTGAGACAGTAATCCAGATTCTAGCACTTCCTGGGACCGACTTCAACGTGAAAGGTAGGTCTCCCGACCCCTCGCTCTCCGGCTGCCTTCACTTTAAGGCGTCGCAGAGCGATTAACATGGAAATAGAAAAGGAAGAATACAAGGAATGTGCGTCATCACCAGTGTAACCTTTAGCTAAAATGCGAAGGGTGTGTCTTGGAGGAACAGGGTGGGTTGGAGGCTAGATTTACAGCCGCTCTGCCAAGCAAATGCACGCCCTCTGTTATTTCCAATGGCTGTTTTTTTACCCTCACAGGGCAAATATAATAACTGTCGCCTTCCTTTTAAGTCCTATTCAATCGCTGATACAGATGTGGCGTTATTTGAATCATTTTAATGTGTTTATTAACTATCATCTAACGTGCTAAGTGGAGATGATGGCGAAAAAGGAAGCGGGACAAAATGAAAGGGTTGAAATGGCGGTGGGGTGACTAGTTTGAGTACAGTCTCCGTGCTCTGGTGACATGAAACACAAACCGGGTCCCCATAATGTAAGACCTCTGGTCTCAGACAGAAAACGCATAACGTTTAACTTCAGAGCACTAGAATGATTTTCACGACAGAATACATCCACCGACCACACAGTAGGTATAGATTTAGACTTGCTTATCAAAATCAAGATCGATTTAAACTATTCCGACTATTACGTTTTAGTGTGTCTAACTTTGGATGTAGTGAAATCATTAGAGTATCCCAGATGATTTGGTTTTAAAATGAAAAGGTGGCTGCTATTTTTATTTTGTATTTATTTTTATCATAATTGTTATAAAAAAAGTAATATATATATATATATATATATATATATATATATATATATATATATATATATTTAATGTTTTTATTATGGGGGTAGATCAGCTTGTCACGTTCGTTGAGAGACGGGTCAGACCAAGGTGCAGCGTGATATGCATACATGTTTATTAAGACGAATAAACACTTGACAAAATAACAAAACAACGAAAACGTGAAGTCCTACACACAACAAGCCTAACAGGAACACAAACAAGATCCCACAACTAAGGTAGGCAACCAGGCTACTTAAGTATGATACCCAATCAGAGACAACGAGCGACAGCTGCCTCTGATTGGGAATCACACCCGGCCAAACATAGAAATATCAACCTAGATCTAAACATAGATATACAATTCTAGATCTACACATAGAAACTCACGCCCTGACCAAACCAACTAAAGACAACCGGGCTCTCAAGGCCAGGGCGTGACACAGCTTTAATATAGCAGATAGATTATAACTTCCATCAATGTAATTGTCTGCATCACTTCCAATCCCCCATATGTTTTTTTTCTCTCGCAAATATACACTACCGTTCAAAAGTTTGGGGTCACTTAGAAATGTCCTTGTTTTCCATGAAAACATACATGAAATGAGTTTGGATAGGAAATATAGCAAAATGCATAGGAAATGTAGTCATTGACAAGGTTAGAAATAATGATTTGTAATTGAAATAATAATTGTGTCCTTTGCTTTCATCATAGAATCCTCCATTTGCAGCAATAACAGTCTTGCAGACCTTTGGCATTCTAGTTGTCAATTTGTTGAGGTAATCTGAAGAGATTTCGCCCCATGCTTCCTGAAGCACCTCCCACAAATTGGATTGGCTTGATGGGCACTTCTTACGTACCATAAGGTCAAGCTGCTCCCACAACAGCTCAATAGGGTTGAGATCCGGTGACTGTGCTGGCCACTCCATTATAGACAGAATACCAGCTGACTCCTTCTTCACTAAATAGTTATTGCATAGTTTGGAGCTGTGCTTTGGGTCATTGTCCTGTTGTAGGAGGAAATTGGCTCCAATCAAGCGCCGTACACAGGGTATGGCATGGCATTGCAAAATGGAGTGATAGCCTTCCTTCTTCAAGATCCATTTACCCTGTACAAATCTCCCACTTTACCACCACCAAAGCACCCCCAGACCATCACATTGCCTCCACCATGCTTGACAGATGGCATCAAGCACTCCTCCAGCATCTGATGGCTGCTGATAATGGCCCTCTGTATGCCTATGTAGATATTCCATTAGAAATCAGCCGTTTCCAGCTACAATAGCCATTTACAACATTAACAATCTGTACACTGTATTTCTGATCAATTTGATGTTATTTTAATGGAAAAACAAGGACATTTCTAAGTGAACCCAAACTTTTGAACGGTAGTGTATATATACACACACACACACATATATATATATATATATATATATATATATATATATATATATACATACACACACATACAGTTGAAGTCTGAAGTTTACATACACCTTAGCCAAATACATTTAAACTCAGTTTTTCACAATTCCTGACATTTAATCCTAGTAAAAATTCCCTGTCTTAGGTCAGTTAGGATCACTGCTTTATTTTAAGAATGTGAAATGTCAGAATAATAGTAGAGAGAATGATTTATTTCAGCTTTTATTTATTTCATCACATTCCCAGTGGGTCAGACGTTTACATTCACTCAATTACTTGGGTCAAATGTTTCGGGTAGCCTTCCACAAGCTTCTCACAATAAGTTGGGTGAATTTTGGCCCATTCCTCCTCGCAAGCAACCCCCTTTTTCCTCCAAACATAACGATGGTCATTATGGCCAAACAGTTCTATTTTTGTTTCATCAGACCAGAGGACATTTCTCCAAAAAGTATGATCTTTGTCCCCATGTGCAGTTGCAAACCGTAGTCTGGCTTTTCTATGGCGGTTTTGGAGCAGTGGCTTCTTCCTTGCTGAGCGGCCTTTCAGGTTATGTCAACATAGGACTCGTTTTACTGTGGATATAGATACTTTTGTACCTGTTTCCTCCAGCATATTCACAAGGACCTTTGCTGTTGTTCTGGGATTGATTTTCACTTTTCGCACCAAAGTGCGTTCATCTCTAGGAGACAAAATGCGTCTCCTTCCTGAGCGGTATGACGGCTGCATGGTCCCATGGTGTTTATACTTGCGTACAATTGTTTGTACAAATGAACGTGGTACCTTCAGGCGTTTGGAGATTGCTCCCAAGGATGAACCAGACTTGTGGAGGTCTGCAAAAAAACTCTGAGGTCTTTGCTGATTTCTTTTGATTTTCCCATGATGTCAAGCAAAGAGGCACTGAGTTTGAAGGTAGGCCTTGAAATACATCCACAGGTACACCTCCAATTGACTCAAAAGATGTCAATTAGCCTATCAGAAGCTTCTAAAGCCATGCCATCATTTTCTGGAATTTTCCAAGCTGTTTAAAGGCACAGTCAACTTAGTGTATGTAAACTTCTGACCCACTGGAATTGTGATACAGTGAATTATAAGTGAAATAATATGTCTGTAAACAATTGTTGGAAAAATTACTTGTGTCATGCACAAAGTAGATGTCCTAACCGAGTTGCCAAAACTATAGTTTGTTAACAAGAAATGTGTGGAGTGGTTGAAAAACTAGTTTTAATGACTCCAACCTAAGTGTATGTAAACTTCCGACTTCAACTGTACATACAAATGCATATATACACATACATACATATACATATATACACACACATATATACAGTGGGGAGAACAAGTATTTGATACACTGCCGATTTTGCAGGTTTTCCTACTTACAAAGCATTTAGAGGTCTGTAATTTTTATCATAGGTACACTTCAACTGTGAGAGACGGAATGTAAAACAAAAATCCAGAAAATCACATTGTATGTGTAGTGTATTAGGATTATGTCTTTGTTAATGTTTTTCATGTGGAACTGAACGGATGTTTATTTTAGTTCAAAAGTAGCCATTTGTAGGGTGACGCCCCAGGGGAGACAGGTGATTGGACAGCAGAGGGAGCAACCCATATTTTTGCATTGTTTATAAGTATATGCTGGACGAAGAAGAGGTTAGAGCAGACATTACAATTCGAGGACACTGCTCTCCGGGTGGTCATGACATCCGTCACTTATGCTGAAATCTTGTGATATGAATAAAACTTATGATCAAAGGTTCAGTATGAGCAGACTCCTTTGTTTATCAGCAATAATTGCCAGCATTTACTCGATACTACATATGATTTTTAAGTAATTAATTTGCATTTTATTGCATGACATAAGTATTTGATCACCTACCAACCAGTAAGAATTCAGGCTCTCACAGACCTGTTAGTTTTTCTTTAAGAAGCCCTCCTGTTCTCCACTCATTACCTGTATTAACTGCACCTGTTTGAACCTGTTACCTGTATAAAAGACACCTGTCCACACACTCAATCAAACAGACTCCAACCTCTCCACAATGGCCAAGACCAGAGAGCTGTGTAAGGACATCAGGGATACAATTGTAGACCTGCACAAGGCTGGGATGGGCTACAGGACAATAGGCAAGCAGCTTGGTGAGAAGGCAACAACTGTTGGCGCAATTATTAGAAAATGGAAGAAGTTCAAGATGACGGTCAATCACCCTCGGTCTGGGGCTCCATGCAATATCTCACCTCGTGGGGCATCAACGATCATGAGGAAGGTGAGGGATCAGCCCAGATCTACACGGCAGGACCTGGTCAATGACCTGAAGAGAGCTGGGACCACAGTCTCAAAGAAAACCATTAGTAACACACTGCGCCGTCATGGATTAAAATCTTGCAGTGCACGCAAGGTCCCCCTGCTCAAGCCAGCGCATGTCCAGGCCCGTCTGAAGTTTGCCAATGACCATCTGGATGATCCAGAGGAGGAATGGGAGAAGGTCATGTGGTCTGATGAGACAGAAATAGAGCTTTTTGGTCTAAACTCCACTCGCCGTGTTTGGAGGAAGAAGAAGGATGAGTACAACCCCAAGAACACCATACCAACTGTGAAGCATGGAGGTGGAAACATCATTCTTTGGGGATGCTTTTCTGCAAAGGGGACAGGACGACTGCACCGTATTGAGGGGAGGATGGATGGGGCCTTGTATCGCGAGATCTTGGCCAACAACCTCCTTCCCTCAGTAAGAGCATTGAAGATGGGTCGTGGCTGGGTCTTCCAGCATGACAACGACCCGAAACACACAGCCAGGGCAACTAAGGAGTGGCTCCGTAAGAAGCATCTCAAGGTCCTGGAGTGGCCTAGCCAGTCTCCAGACCTGAACCCAATAGAACATCTTTGGAGGTAGCTGAAAGTCCGTATTGCCCAGCGACAGCCCTGAAACCTGAAGGAACTGGAAAAGGTCTGTATGGAGGAGTGGGACAAAATCCCTGCTGCAGTGTGTGCAAACCTGGTCAAGACCTACAGGAAACGTATGATCTCTGTAATTGCAAACAAAGGTTTCTGTACCAAATATTAAGTTCTGCTTTTCTGATGTATCAAATACTTATGTCATGCAATAAAATGCAAATTAATTACTTAAAAATCATACAATGTGATTTTCTGGATTTTTGTTTTAGATTCCGTCTCTCACAGTTGAAATGTACCTATGATAAAAATTACAGACCTCTACATGCTTTGTAAGTAGGAAAACCTGCAAAATCGGCAGTGTATCAAATACTTGTTCTCCCTACTGTATATACACATATATACATACACACAAATACATATAAATACATATACATACATAGTTATATACATATCCTTTTTTTAAATATAAAGGTGGCTGCTATTAGCTATGAAGCTATTAGCAGCATAATATGTGAATGTGTTTAATGGTTGTCTTAGGGGTTGTCCTCCATTTCACTCATAACGCTTTCTTTAAAGGATTTTAAAAGATTCCATCGGGATGACTGTTTGTTCTGTGTGTGTGTGTGTGTGTGTATGTGTGTGTGTGTGCGCGCGTGCATGTGTGCCTGCATGTGTAGTTGTACGTGTGTGTACGTGTGTGTTACTCCTCAGACCACGCAGGCTGGACGCCCCTGCAGAGGCATATAACCATGGCAGCAGTGCGTGTGTGGAGGCTCTGCTGCGCCACCAGCCCGTCCCTCACCTGAACGGCCAGGTGGGCGGAGTCAGGCCGCTACACAATGCTCTGTGGACACACAGACATCGGCAAGATGCTCCAGCATGCAGGTTAGTACACACAAACACACACACACACACACACACACAGATAAACAAATTAATGCTCACACAAAGCTATTGGTACGAGTTTGAGGGGTATTTGGACCACTATGGTACTTGGAAAAGGAACCATTGAATAAGGTGAGAGGAATATGGATGGATGAATTAGTCTGAAATATATCAGGGAAATTGGCACTGGGCCTTAGGGGCCTAACAGTCCTTTGCCCACAAATCTGAATAATCTCTGCATCTCTACAGTCCCCCCCCACACCATCTTCCTCTTCCTCCCCGCTTCTCTCTTCCTTTCTGCGCTCTGTCGCAACGTCTGTCTAAACATCCGTCATAAGATGTCTGTTAATGTATTTTTGAAGAGATCAGAGTCGTCAGGTTCTGCCGCTTGCGAAATTCACACTGGTTTGGTGGGAAACGTGTCACAACAGAAATACTTTTTCTCTGTGTGTGTTTGCTTGCCACATGCAATCGCTGACCGGGAGCTTTGAAGTGAGTGTGACGTGTGTCAAAACGGGAGGAGGGTGTGTTGGTGGTATAGCTGTGTGTATGGTGGTGGTGCGGGAGGAGATGGATAGATGTGTGTGTGTGTGGTAGTGGTGGGGGGAGGGATGGATAGATGTGTGTGTGTATGGTAGTGGTGGGGGGAGGGATGGATAGATGTGTGTGTGTATGGTAGTGGTGGGGGGAGGGATGGATAGATGTGTGTGTGTATGGTAGTGGTGGGGGGAGGGATGGATAGATGTGTGTGTGTGTGGTAGTGGTGGGGGGAGGGATGGATAGATGTGTGTGTGTATGAAGGTGGTGTGTGTATGTATGTGGGGGGATGTATATGTGTGTGGTTGGGGTGGGGCTAGACAGCGTTGAACGAGACTCCCATGTATGCTGATGCCACTTCCCTGCCTCACTCTCCACTTTGACTAATTATAGTTAATTTGATTCGGCTTTCCCATTAACACATGTACATATTCTGTCCTCAAAAAATAAATGAGATTGGGATTGTTTGGTCCCGGTGAGAGTTTTTTTTCCCGCAGTGACAGGAGAAAAGGAGAAAATTAAAAAGGGTCAGAGGAAGAGACTGTTTGCAAAATTAGAAAAAAGTGTGTGTGTGACTGTCTGTGTGTGCAAGCAAGCTGTCTGTCAGGGCTGTACCAGTCACTGCGGGCCCCGTCTGTCTAGGACTCAGCTCGTTCTGTCTAGGACTCAGCTCGCTCGGTGCTGCCTGCTAGGCCACAGCACTGAGATGGGTGGATGGAGGGAGCTACTGCTGCTGCAGAAATGTGACACGCGGCTCACTTTCCCTCTTTCTTTCACTTAGTTTCTATTTCTTGGTGTTGTGACAGGAGATAGTGAGGCAAGCTGGGTAGATAGAGGTAATGGAGCTAGCTGGGTAGTTGGGATGGGCATGAGTAATCAAGTACTCGAACGGACGTCAAAGCTTGATCTTTAACCAGAGAGCACATTTGTTTCAAATACTGTAAAACTATTTGGTGGAATGTGCTTTATGGCTTCCCGAATGGCCATGTAAAATATTGTCTTGAAGACAACGTTAATTTGCTTTGACTCTAGTGTTCCATTTATACAACAAAAAAAAAAAGTATCACACCGTTTTTCTCCCTAAATTCCTGTTCCCCTCTTAGTCTCATTCACGCAATTGCGTTTTGACCGCTCCTTCCACACATGCGTGCTGAGTGGGCACACAAGCTCCCGTTAGGCCTACAGAAATTAATACCTATAAAACGAATCTAACTGATGGGATAGATAAGCTACATTCCTTGCCAAATGCCAAACAGTTTAATTTTTTTTTTTTAATGGACTGGTTAATTGTAAATGTGTTCCAACAGCGAGCTGCAGTTTTGGAATAATTGTGTCCCCTCTATGTCCCGCTTAAGCGACTTTGCAAACCGGTAGTGCCATTTAAAAAAAATAATAAATAATCAGATTTAATATTGCAGATAGATTGTAACTTCCATCAATGTAATTGTCTGCATCACTTCCAATCCCCCATGTGTTTTTTTCTCACGCAAATACAGTGGGGAAAAAAAGTATTTAGTCAGCCACCAATTGTGCAAGTTCTCCCACTTAAAAAGATGAGAGAGGCCTGTAATTTTCATCATAGGTACACGTCAACTATGACAGACAAAATGAGGGAAAAAAATCCAGAAAATCACATTGTAGGATTTTTTATGAATTTATTTGCAAATTATGGTGGAAAATAAGTATTTGGTCAATAACAAAAGTTTCTCAATACTTTGTTATATACCCTTTGTTGGCAATGACACAGGTCAAACGTTTTCTGTAAGTCTTCACAAGGTTTTCACACACTGTTGCTGGTATTTTGGCCCATTCCTCCATGCAGATCTCCTCTAGAGCAGTGATGTTTTTTGGCTGTCGCTGGGCAACACAGACTTTCAACTCCCTCCAAAGATTTTCTATGGGGTTGAGATCTGGAGACTGGCTAGGCCACCCCAGGACCTTGAAATGCTTCTTACGAAGCCACTCCTTCGTTGCCCGGGCGGTGTGTTTGGGATCATTGTCATGCTGAAAGACCCAGCCACGTTTCATCTTCAATGCCCTTGCTGATGGAAGGAGGTTTTCACTCAAAATCTCACGATACATGGCCCCATTCATTCTTTCCTTTACACGGATCAGTCGTCCTGGTCCCTTTGCAGTAAAACAGCCCCAAAGCATGATGTTTCCACCCCCATGCTTCACAGTAGGTATGGTGTTCTTTGGATGCAACTCAGCATTCTTTGTCCTCCAAACACGACGAGTTGAGTTTTTACCAAAAAGTTATATTTTGGTTTCATCTGACCATATGACATTCTCCCAATCCTCTTCTGGATCATCCAAATGCACTCTAGCAAACTTCAGACGGGCCTGGACATGTACTGGCTTAAGCAGGGGGACACGTCTGGCACTGCAGGATTTGAGTCCCTGGCGGCGTAGTGTGTTACTGATGGTAGGCTTTGTTACTTTGGTCCCAGCTCTCTGCAGGTCATTCACTAGGTCCCCCCGTGTGGTTCTGGGATTTTTGCTCACCGTTCTTGTGATCATTTTGACCCCATGGGGTGAGATCTTGCGTGGAGCTCCAGATTGAGGGAGATTATCAGTGGTCTTGTATGTCTTTCATTTCCTAATAATTGCTCCCACAGTTGATTTCTTCAAACCAAGCTGCTTACCAATTGCAGATTCAGTCTCTTAATCTCTTAAAGAAGAAGTTACAGGTCTGTGAGAGCCAGAAATCTTGCTTGTTTGTAGGTGACCAAATACTTATTTTCCACCATCATTTGCAAATAAATTCATTAAAAATCCTACAATGTGATTTTCTGGATTTTTTTTTCTCAATTTGTCTGTCACCTATGATGAAAATTACAGGCCTCTCTCATCTTTTTAAGTGGGAGAACTTGCACAATTGGTGGCTGACTAAATACTTTTTCCCCCCACTGTAATTGGTTAAAGAAAATTGTGATAAATAAAAAAGTATACCAATTTCATTTAAGGACCAAAGGATTGACAGCCGTCCCATATAGATTGCAAAATAGTTGGGAAGAGATTTTTGACGTACCGATTCAATGGCATAGTGTTTATGAACTGATACGCAAAACAACGCCGGATTCAACACGTATAATTTTTCAATTTTAAATTATTATACAACATTCTTGCTACCAATAGAATGTTATTTATATGGGGGATACAATCTTCCCAGCTCTGCAGATTTCGCTGCGAAGAGACAGAATCATTAGATCATTTGTTTTGGTACTGTCCATTTGTAGCTTGTTTTTGGACACAGGTCAAGGAATGGCTAAAGGATTGCAATATTTACCTGGAGCTAACCCTGCAGATAGCACTACTGGGTGATCTGAAAAGTCATAGTCACTCGATCAATAATCGCAAAAATGTTTATTTTCAATTTACAATCTGTAGAAACAATGAGAATAGAAGGGTTCAGAACTTTTGTAAAACATCACAGTACAGTTGAAAAATATAGGGTAAATAGAAATCCAATATGGATGGTGTTAAGAGATAGATGGGAGGTGTTGAATGGAGTTGAAGGATGGGACTAATAAAAACTAACAACAACTAATAACAACAAGATAACTAATGTAAAGCATACTGTGTCCATAATAAGTATATACTGTAGGTTATAGGTTGAGAGCTTTTGTGAAAGAGCACAGTTAGAAAGATATGGAATATAGAAGCAAACCGGATGGACATCATGAAAATGATCAGAAAGGTTGAGGGTAGAAGAAGTTCAGGAGTAAAAACAAACAAAATTGAATTATTGTAAAATTGACTGTGTCTATAAAATGTTCAGTTGAAGTCGGAAGTTTACATATACCTTAGCCAAATACATTTCAACTCAGTTTTTCACAATTCCTGACATTTAATCCTAGTCAAAATTCCCTGTCTTAGTAAAAGTTAGGATCACCACTTTATTTTAAGAATGTGAAATGTCAGAATAATAGTAGAGAGAATGATTTATTTCAGCTTTAATTTTTTCATCACATTCCCAGTGGGTCAGAAGTTTACATACACTCAATTAGTATTTGGTAGCATTGCCTTTAAATTGTTTAACTTGGGTCAAACGTTTCGGGTAGCCTTCCACAAGCTTCCCACAATAAGTTGGGTGAATTTTGGCCCATTCCTCCTGACAGAGCTGGTGTAACTGAGTCAGGTTTGTAGGCCTCCTTGCTCGCACACGCTTTTTCAGTTCTGCCCCGAAATGTTCTACATGATTGAGGTCAGGGCTTTGTGATGGCCACTCCAATACCTTGACTTTGTTGTCCTTAAGTCATTTTGCTACAACTTTGGAAGTATGCTTGGGGTCATTGTCCATTTGGAAGACCCATTTGCGACCAAGCTTTAACTTCCTGACTGATGTCTTGAGATGTTGCTTCAATATATCAACATCATTTTCCTTACTCATGATGCCATCTATTTTGTGAACTGCACCAGTCCCTCCTGCAGCAAAGCACCCCCACAGCATGATGCTGCCA